CATCAAAATGGCAAGATCAAATTCACACATAACAATATTAACCCCAAATATAAATGGGCTAAATGCACCAATCAAAAGACACAGACTGGCAAATTGAATAAAAAGTCAAAACCCATCAGCGTGCTGTATCCAGGAAACCCATCTCATGTGCAAGGACACACATAAGCTCAAAATAACAGGATGGAGAAAGATTTACCAAGAAGATAGCAAAAAAAAAAAGCAAGCAGGAGTTGCAATCCTAGTCTCTGATAAAAGACTTAAACCAACAAAGTTCAAAAGAGACAAAGAAGGTCATTACATAATAGTAAAAGGATTGATACAAAAAGAAGAGCTAACGATCCTAAATATATATGGACCCAATACAGGAGCACCCAGATACATAAGGCAAGTTCTTAATGACCTACAAAGAGACTTAGACTCCCACACAATAATGGTGGGAGACTTTAACACTCCACTGTCAATATTAGACAGATCAACCAGACAGAAAATTAACAAGGATATCCAGGGCTTGAACTCAGACCTGGAACAAGCAAACCTGATAGACATTTACAGAACTCTCCACCCCAAATCCACAGAACATACATTCTTCTCAGCACCACATCACACCTACTCTAAAATTGACCACATAATTGGAAGTAAAGCACTGCTCAGCAAATGCAAAGGAACAGAAATCATAACAAACAGTCTCTCAGACCATACTGCAATCAAGTTAGAACTCAGAATTCAGAAACTAATCCAGAACCGCACAGCTTCATGGAAACCGAACAACTGGCTCTTGAATGTTGACTGGATAAACAATAAAATGAAGGCAGAAATAAAGAAGTTCTTCAAAACCAACGAGAACGAAGACAATATACCAGAATCTCTGGGACACATTTAAAGCAGTCTCTAGAGGAAAATTTATAGCAATAAATACCCACATGAGAAGCGAGGAAAGATCTAAAATTGACACCCTATCATGAAAATTGAAAGAGCTAGAGGAGCAAGATCAAAAAACTCAAAAGCAAGCAGAAGACAAGAAATAACTAAGATCAGAGCAGAACTGAAGGAGATAGAGACACAAAAAACCCTTCAAAAAATCAATAAATCCAGGAGCTGGTTTTTTGAAAAGATCAACAAAATAGACAGGCTGCTAGCCAGATTAATAAAAAAGAAAAGAGAGAACAAATCGATTCAATGAAAAATTATAAAGGGGAAATCACCACAGATTCCACAGAAATACAAACTACCATCAGAGAATATTACAAACAACTCTATGCACATAAACCAGTATACCTGGAAGAAATGGAGAAATTCCTGGACACTTGCACCCTCCTAAGCCTAAACCAGGAAGAAGTTGAAACCTTGAACAGACCATTAACAAGGGCTGAAGTAGAGGCAGCAATTAAGAGCATAACCACCAAAAAAAGCCCGGGTCCAGATGGGTTCACAGCCGAATTCTACCAAACACACAAAGAGGAGCTGGTACCACTCCTTCTGAAACTATTCCAAATAATCCAAGAAGAGGGAATCCTTCCCAAATCATTTGATGAGACCCATTCAAAAGTGGGCAAAGGATGTGAACAGACACTTTACAAAAGAAGACATACCCGAGGCCAACAAATATATGAAAAAACACTCATCATCACTGGTCATTAGAGAAATGCAAATCAAAACCACATTGAGATACCATCTCACGCCAGTTAGAATGGCGATCATTAAAAAATCTGGAGACAACAGATGCTGGAGGGGATGTGGAGAAATAGGAACACTTTTACACTGTTGGTGGGAGTGTACATTAGTTCAACCATTGTGGAAGACAGTGTGGCGATTCCTCAAGGATCTAGAAACAGAAATTCCATTTGACCCAGCAATCCCATTATTGGGTATATACCCAAAGGATTATAATCATTCTATTATAAAGACACATGCACACGAATGTTCACTGCAGCAGTGTTTACAATAGCAAAGACCTGGAACCAACCCAAATGTCCATCAATGATAGACTGCACAAGGAAAATGTGGCACATATACTCCATGGACTACTACTACACAGCCATAAAAAATGATGAGTTCCTGTCCTTTGTAGGGCCATGGATGAATCTGGAAACCATCATTCTCAGGAAACTGACACAAGAACAGGAAATCAAACGCCACACGTTCTCACTCATAGGCAGGTGTTGAACAATGAGAACACATGGCCACAGGGAGGGGAGCATCACACAGTGGGGTTTGTTGAGGGGGGACTAGGGAAGGGGCAGTGGGGGTAGGGAGGTTGGGGAGGGATAACATGGGGAGAAATGCCAGATGTAGGTGCCAGAGGGATGGAGGCAGCAAACCACATTGCCATATACCTATGCAACAATCTTTCATGATCTGCACATGTATCCCAGAACCAGTAATTATATATATATAATTACTATGTATACCTGCTCAGATTGGATATTTTAGCCATTGGTTTGTTTGGTTTTGTATAACCTATTATGATGTCAACAAAAAATCCAATGAAACAATCCAACTCTAGGCTAGGTTCTTTTTCCCACTGTTTTTTGACTTTCAGTGAAATTATTCCTGACAAATTGACAACAGACCTCGGAGGGTCCACAAGACACAACAGGATTTGAAGCTGGAAAGGGGAGAAACTGCCTCCCATTGGAGAAGGCATAAGACACTTAACTCAGGGTTGTATGTATGATTGACATGAGCCATGTCCAAAAGCTTAGCAAGCTCCCTCATACACTGGGTTGCAAAAACAGACACGGAGGTAACAGACCCGAACCCAGTTGAAGAGCATGGATTTTAAAAACTCAACTGACAAAAAACGGGGGGTGGGGGTGGAGACTGAGCACAAAAAGAAATGTACCCCACCAGCATCCAGACTGTCACACACACGTCCTAAGACTGCTAGTCTCAAGGTTTGTTCAGCCCCTGTGGCAGCCTCACATGGTCACCACAAAGTGTCACCCACACTTCTGTGATCCATAACAGCTCTACTCCATTAACTGTGGCTGCCCTGAAATGCCCAGTCTGCCTGGTCGTGCTTAGGTGAGGACATATGAGACCAAGGAAAATGTAAACATAAGTACAGAGAAAACAAAGTTCACCAATCCTATCATACTGATCACAGTGTGTTAACTGTTTATACAGGTGTAATAACACATTTTACAATAACCGGGCTCTTTGTTTAGGCTGTTTTAAGGATGCTTAAAAATGCTTAAGTCAGGGTGCGGTGGCTCATGCCAGTAATCCCCACACTTTGGGAGGCCAAGGCGGGTGGATCACAAGGTCAAGAGATCGAGACCACCCTGGCCAACGTGGTGAAACCCTGTCTCTACTAAAAAATACAAAATTTAGCTGGGCGTGACGGCACACGCCTGTAGTCCCAGGTACTCGGGAGGCTGAGGCAGGAGAATCGCCTGAACCCGGGAGGCGGAGGTTGCAGTGAGCTGAGATTGCACCACTGCACTGCAGGCTGGATAACAAGAGCGAAAATGGTCTCAAAAAAAAAAAAAAAAAAAATGCTTAACAGCATTTTTACTACCTATCTCCCTAGAGTTACCTGTATTAAATTTATAAGCAATTTCTAAAATTTGGTTTGTCATATTCGTAAGTCTACTCCATTAGGTGTCTGCAGTTTAAGTGAACATGTAGGTGGTGTTAGTTTAAGGACTGAGTATTTAAAGCATCCATAGGGAAAAACGAGCGACTGCTTTCCTAATTGTCATAGGCTCTATACGCTGAGGGTAAAGGTTAAGGAGGAAAAGAGGTGCCTTGAGGTAGTTAATATATGAGATCATTAAAGCGTGATTACATGGGACTATTACTTACCATGTCTAAAAGCATTTCTTAGGAACTAAAGCTCTAATAATTTCCACAAGAATGTCTGTCACTGATTTCCACTTCAGAACTACAGCGTTGCGCAAAACGAAACTTAAATGGGAAACGATGACACGAAACCATCAGTGTTCTTAGGAAATTCGGAAGATGGCTGTGTCTCTGGTTACTACGACTTCTAGAAATTGAATACCTTAAAATCCTAATAATTTTACAGAGCATTAACATATTAACATGAAAACTGATCTTTTGCTAATGTAGGATCTGTAATTATGAAAGAAGCTCTATTTAATGATTTTTGTTTCCAAAAGTAAAAAGAAATATGTATAAGCAATTTAAAAATTTTTAAACTTGTAGTAAAAGAAAAAACTGGTTTCACCAGACTACCTCTATTCTGGCAAATATGAAACCCTTTAAGGAAAATCATCCGAGTCATATGAACCACAGACTAATTTATCCATCATTTTAACTAACTTCTCCCACAGGATTTCTATGTTGAAAATGAAACCATCTTTGATTCTTAAGCAGGAGATGGATTCTATGAGTGTCATTCCATAGGAGAAAAAATTTACTAGAATAAATGCTTTATTAGCCTTGCCACATTTACTCAATATTCATAGAACTGCTAGGCATAAGAAGTGAAACTAACATGAAAATGAATGAAAAATGAGAGATCAGCCGATGGGGTTAAAAAACAAAAGCTTCACAGGGAGCCTGCGCGCCGCATACGTCCCGTCCCGCTAAAGGGCTGTAGTTCTAGAAATAAAAGGGAAGGGAATCAAGTATCTACTAGCAACGCTTAACCCAAAATGTATTAAGACAAAACAAACTTAAGGCACTAAAAACCAGGGAAAAAGTACTGAAAATAAACGAATCTAATAATAAAACTTTTCACCTAACTGCAAAAGCAAATCTTTTGAACCACAGTGTCATGTTAAAAACTACGATTTTAAAGCTCTGCTACCACTAAGTAATAGCGGCAGAGTGTGAGAGTGTGTGTGTGGACACAGAGCTACACAGACAGATGAACAGAGGGATGGATGATAGAGACATAGGTTGATAGACTGACAGATTTCAAAACACGTATTTGCCATTCACTACTTTGCAACAATTCTCCCAATTTGGTTTGAAAAGGGACAACAGGTAACTGACTTTTGTTCAAAGTCAAAGTAAAAAGAGAGGCCATGTTTGGAGCGAGAACCCTTTAATAACTATTTTTATTTCGAGAGAACATAAATACAGAACTTGAAGGCAGTATATGTAACGGTAATACTTTCCTTAGACACAGAATCACCTACTTTTATACAACTTAACAGGCAAACACTTTTTTGTTTGTTTGTTTACAGGAAATCAGCATTGGGAAAAGCCACGTAACAGAGGAAATTACAAGTAAAGTCAAATAGTATTCACTGGTGGCTCTAAACACCAGTGCTCCCACTCCTGTGGGAGGCGGAGGTGAGGGCAGGGCCAAAGGGCAGGTTCAGCTTCGGGCGGCAGCGGTCTGCGGCTGCTCGGATTGGAGCTGTTTGCCAAGGTATTCCCTAAAAAGAGTGAAATGAGGAGGATTAGAATGTCAATAACAACAAATCACTTCCAAAACTGAAACACACTATGTACGATCATATATACTTAAACCTTTAAAATTTAAATTTTGAAAGTGCCTGTACTGTATGAATTCCACTTCATGTATCACACACAAACAAGTCAGGACAAACTAGTCATTCTTGTACTTTTATTAATAACTTATGAAGCTATTTACAATTACCCAAACAGGTGACTACAAGGAAGTATCATTCCTTCCTGGGGAAAAGGCTCCTGTCGTGTTCAGATAAAGGTCTTGTTTCCCCTTCCTGCCACTTCTGCAATCTAAGAAGTTCAAAATCACCTCAATTACCGTTCATTCAGAATGAATGACCTCGTAAATGAAAAACCAATGTCCTGCTGTTACAGAATGGGCACATCTACAGCCCGGGGTGACACAAGAGCACGGGAAAATAAATCACCGGAAGTAGCATCGGGATTCCCCACACTGACAGGAGCTACTGGACTGCATCAGCGAGGTCTAACCCTGCACAGAGACTGACAGGCCAGAGCCACAGAACAATCCCAGGCTGAGTAGCAGCACTCACTCCACAGATGAGGCAACTGGGGCTCAGGGCAGTGGTCCCCAGTCCCTTAGATCACCTCCTTCAGAAAGTCAGTGTGTGCCCACAGTATGTGCATATTCAGCTCTGAAGTACACACAGGCACCACTGTGAAATCCAGGACAGAAAATCATCTTGTCCCTATTTTCCTGTGAAGCCCAAACATCTGTTTTACAACCAGTTAGGAAGAAGAAAAAGAGACTTAAAAAAAAAAAAACTACTTAAAAGTTTTCCTCTTCTAAAAAGAGGAAAAAAGCATGAGTTCTGGAATAGAGACGTGGGTTTACGTCCCAGCTCCATCGCCTTCCGGATATTCCCACGGGGACTTTAGGAGGCACTGAGTGTGGAGGCCCTGGCGGGGATGCAAGCTGCAGGCACACTGTCAATGCCATCCAACCACCTTTGGGGCCCAGCACCGTCCACAGGTGAATGTGACTCCGCCTGTCTCCACAGAGTTCCAGAAGGCAGGCATTTCACCTGCCCTGCTCTCCCTCTGCTTCTACAAAGCAGCAAAGATTTTAAGACAGAAGCACTGTGAATGAGGAGAGGAGGAAAGGTCACGCGGTAGTGGAGGAGCAGGGAGGAGGAACTGGTGGCCCAGCACACACATGTAAAGTGTCACACACACACCCCCCACCCCGCAAAGGCTGTTCACTTTCCAATACTGTGAGATTGAATGAAGGCTCCCAGAACATGCAAATGAGTTGTGATCTTTTCCATCCTTCTAGGGAAGTTCCCTGTAACTGACTCATTAATGTTGGATGTCACATTAAGGTGTTTGTGCTGACATAATTTAGGCAATGGGCTCTTATTTCCAACCAGGACTTAAGTAAATAGTCACGGCTATTTCATGCAAAGGCTGAAAGGGAAGCTGTGCGGTTAACTTTGTTAGACAGGAAACAAGAATTTACAGTCACTATTGATGCTGCTGTTTGGAGAGTGCCTGCAGACTGGGGGCATTTGTGGTCACACAGATTTATCTGTGTGGTGGTGGGGGAGGGGGTAACAACATTCATGGCAAATTTCCAGATTTTATGAATATATTTTTTCCTACATATATCTGAGAAATTAACCCTGAAGTTAGATATGCTTCATTTTAAGGAGGTCTTGAAATACTTCAATCTTCGACTATTTAGTGTAGAGCCTTAGAAAACATTTTAGAAGTATACTCAAGGACACCGTGCCACTCTTCAATTACAGTAAGATGTGGTTCTCTCCCTAAAGGACTGATGTCAAGGACCAAGTTCTAAACGTCAGTTTCCAAAAACGACTAGTAAGTGTGTTCGGCAAAGCCTGCAGGAGCTCAGGCAGGGAACTGGTAAGCTGGTCCTGTGCAGCTGGTCACAGTCAGGCTCCCACCGCTCCATCCCTTCCAGAGGCCTGACGGTGGTTCATTCCCCATAGCAGACTTTACTGATACTTAGGAGACAACAAGTGGTGACGATAACTGATTTCTTCACAAAAGAAAGTCTTGAAGTAGGGCCGAAGTAGGACAGTAAAACAGGGCACAGCTGAGCTGTTCCAGAGAGAACGTAAAGACACACACAGCCACAGCTTCCTTGCCACCATCTCCCACTCGTTTTTGTTTTCCTGGTCAAAGAGATACATTACGGGTAACATCTTCTCCTATGCATTTTTTTTTTTGGGGGGGGGGGGGGGGGGGGCTGGGGGGGTGGGGTAGACAGTGTTTTGCTCTGTTGCCCAGGCTGGTACAGTGGTGTAATCACAGCTCACTTCAGCCTTGACCTCCGGGGTTCAAGTCATCCTCCCACCCCCAGCCTCTTGAGTAGCTGGGGCTACAGGTACACGCCTGGCTAATTTTTGTATTTTTTGTAGAGACAGGGTTTTGCCATGTGGCCCAGGCTGGTCGTGAACTCCTGTGCTTTAGCAATATGCCTGCCTTAGCCCCTAAAGTGCTGGGGTTACAGGTGAGCCATGGCGCCCAAGCAGGCTTTCACTCTCATTTTGCCCGGAGGCATGTACTTCTTCATGACCTAAGAATGTGACACAGAAAAATCAGCACCTAGGCAGGGCGTGGCTCATGCCTTAGCACTTTAGGGGCTAAGGCAGGCGAATCACAAGGTCCAGAGACCAAAACCATCCTGGCAAAGATGGTGAAACCCCATCTCTACTAAAAATACAAAAATTAGCTGGGCATGGTGGTGTGCTACTGTAATCCCAGCTACTAAGGCAGGAGAATCACCTGGGAGGTGGAGGTTGCAGTGAGCCGAGATCATGCCACTGCACTCCAGCCTGGCAACAGAGGGAGACTCCAACTCAAAAAAAAGAAAAGAAAAGAAAAATCAGCATCTCCTTTCACCTCCACTCCTCCTCTGCCTGCTATTGAGGGTTTACGTAATTTGAATCTGGGGGAAGAACGAACAAGGACTCATAGCTGAAAGGGGGTCCAACGAAGAACCTGCAGATCAGGGGCCCCAAGTGGAACTTTGTGAGCCTGGCTTGAATAATGTAGGTCAGAATGGCAAAAGCCCAGCAAGAGAAGAACCCAGACAGGACTCACGAAAGAATCCAATTTCTTCCTCAAGCTTTCTTGAAATTGCTGTTTGTTATGGCATGTGGGGTGTTAGTGACTTGTTAACCTATCAGGAGGAACTGAATGGTGGCGAAATGGAAAGGCGTATTGCACTACAGAAAAAGACCTCACCTATTAGAACTTCGGGGAAAATCTACTCCTTTAAACTTGCCTTATAGAGTATCATAGCTTGCGCCCCTGAGTGTCAAATGACCTATGTATGTGGTCAATGAAAACATTACCAAGACTGGGGGACATGAGCCTGCCTCTGAATCCTCTGTGCCAGGCACAGGGGGTCCTGGCATCAAGGGCCTAAAGCTGGGAACACAGGATGGCTGTTCCGAGCCACCATGGAAGCTTTATCACAGGTATGCCCACACATTCTCCCCTCTCATTTCAGGGCACCCTGTGAGCCAGGCACTATTAATATCTTCTCCATTTTATAAAAGAGGAAACAGGCCTCAGAAAACTTCATTAACTTGCCTGGGGCAAACTGAGCGAAGTGCCTGCTCAGGGTTCTGGTTCTATTCTACTGTGGGGCTGCCTGGCTTCCAATAAGAGCCTGGAAAGGTACAGAAAGCAGACACTTCCTATTTTGTACATTAGAAAACAAGAGGGTGTGAAAATTTCTTCAGGTTAAAGTTACACTACTGTCAGGCAAAAGGAAAAACTAGTATAGATTTTACCTCAGGGGATAATAATAATAATCTATAACAAAGGATGCCAGGAGATCTTTTGTGAATTAATCTGAGTATTGAGTCAGTCTTATACATGAAGATCAATACAATAAAATTTCAACTTATAATTCACTCAAAAGGTGCCTGACTCGTACAAGCAATCTATAGGAATTTGACATTAAATCTTTGCTTCTGTTACCCAAGATACAAAATTTGTGAAGTGCAATATTTTTCTTCTCTTTAAATTCATCCATACCTGAAATCTCCTGGGATTTCAACATCTCTGAAACTGAAAAAAGGGCAGTCTGAAAACCTACTCCCCCTTTTAAAAACCCAAGTACATAAACAGCTCACAAAAGAGATCAGACTGCTGCAGAAGAGTTTACATCTGATGAAGAAACGCTGAAAAACTACCTTCCCCTTCGCACAAGGACCACTGAGCCGGCTGCGGCTCGACAGTGGCATCTGACAGTGACTGTCTATCTCGTTCTATCCTGTCAGGAGACAGGGCACCAGGAAGCACTTACTCAGGCTACAGGAACTCTTCAAACAGCAGGAAGACCGCCACCCATCCTAATCAAATGTCTTACCTTCACAGTATACTTAGTTACTTAAAGACTCAGACATTACAAATGTGTCTTTCTTTAAAACTGTAACTGAAGACACCCACTGTAATGGTATTTCAAAATGCCAACTTCACCTATATAACTTGAAACACATGGCAGCTTCGGCTGTGTAATTTAGTGGCAGGAAAAACGTATTTTTTTTTACTGGCAAACATATTAATCAATGAAAACTACTTTTATTTTCCTTTTCTGGCCTTGCCTGCCCACAAAGCCAAGTGGAAAACCCATTGTCAGCAGCACTTTCGTACAGTTTTCTCCAGCCTTCCTACGGGGTGCAAAACTGTCATAATTACAGTTGTGACGTTGCTGGAATCTATAGCCTACTTCTTTCTGTTGTCAAAATGACCATTAAAGCTACAACCAAGTCTTAATGACATGTCCTTAACCTTTACCTATCCTGTTTTGGAAAACAAGTTGGTACTACATAAATCATTAACAAACGATTTTTTTCTAAATATAGAAACAAAATTGATCTTAGAAACTGTAAACTTTATAGTTGTTTAGAATACAGATTTATCGTCGGCAAGGGGAAGTAACCCATGAAGTTTTACACGGCTCTAC